GCCTCGGAAGCCGGACACCGCGGTGCTCACGTAACTTATGAGAGGGGTCATGATCGACCCGTCCCCCGGGGCAAACATCCGGGGATGACTTAAGGTGCGCATTCTGTGGGATCAATGGCGCAATCGTATGTAAACTCGTTCCCGCCAAATAAACCTCGTGAAATGTAGACACAATACCGAACCCATTTAGCCGATTTCACTTGACGGGCGATAAGCATGAGCTGGCGAAGTAGGAGTCTTTGTCGGAGACGACCCGACGCTGGGTCTGCAGAAAGCGGATGGCGTCCGGTCGCACGTAATTGTGGCGCCCGACACGCCCGACCAGCAGACGCTTGTTTATTTTGTGAATAGTCTGAGGAGGGGCGGAATCGGCGGACCCTCCCACCAGGCACTCGGTATCAATTGCCGCAAGGAACGGCAAGACTAATGATACTTCTCACGACATTCTCTTATACATGCTGATGAGTTCTACTCATATCCGCTCATAAACCACGTTCTTGAAGGCTGGAATTAAGCGAGTTCTTGTGCACTTCAGCTCACTCTCAATTATGAGCACTCACTGAAAAATTATCTTGAATCCCTAAGTCCTGACTCACGGCCAAAACTCATCTGAGAATCAACACCACGAGGAACTGCCAATCTCTCCTGAGCATCATGACCGCCGACATCAGAGTCTCAATCGACCGCGGCGGCACATTCTGCGACGTCATCGCCGAAATTGACGACCGTGAAATTCTCATCTTCAAGCTCCTCTCCGAAGACCCGGCAAACTACCCTGACGCCCCAACAGAAGCCATCAGGCGCGTCCTCGAATTCGTGGAGGGGAAGCCCATCCCCATCGGCCAAAAACTCGATGGGTCGCGCATCGGTGCATACTCATTTAATCAACTCTCTTCGATCTTGTTTCTAACACTTTCCTAGCATCATGCCGCATCGGCACCACAGTTGCGACAAACGCCCTCTTAGAACACAAGGGCGAGCGCTTCGCCTTCCTCACCACCAAAGGCTTCAAAGATGTCTGCGTCATCGGCGATCAGTCCCGTCCGAAACTCTTTGATCTCAACATTCGCAAGCCCACGGCTTTACACTCGACCGTCGTTGAGATCGATGAGCGCATCGTGCCGGCAGACTACGATCTCAATCCAACGCCACTAGACAAGGAAGCCGCTCTCAAGTCCGCCTCAGTATCATCACCAACCTCATCCTCATCAACTACTCCCCGAGAAGGAGACCTCGTCAGTACACCAAACGGCGATCTAATGCGCATCCTCCGCCGCCCAAACCCAGATCTCATCCGCTCCCAACTCCGCGCCCTCAAAGATGCAGGCTACACCTCCGTCGCAATCTCCTTCATGCACGCCTACCTCTATCCCGCCCACGAAGACCTCGTCGCCTCCCTCGCCCGCTCTCCCGAGTTCGCCTTCTCTTACGTGACAACCTCGTCATCAACCTCTCCCACCATCAAATTTCTCAACCGCAGCACCTCAACATGCTCAGAAGCCTACCTCTACCCCGTCATCCAGCGCTATGTCGCCTCCTTCCACACAGGCTTCCTCCCCGACGCCCCGCCACGCCGCGTAGACTTTATGTGCTCCGACGGCGGCCTAAAAGCAGCCTCCCGCTTCCGCGGCAATGAGGCACTCCTGAGCGGTCCCGCAGGCGGCGTCGTCGGCATCGCGAGGTCCTGCTATGACCCTCAGGACGACACGCCCGTCATCGGCCTCGATATGGGTGGTACCAGCACCGACGTCTCGCGGTACGATGGGAAGTACGACTACCTTACCGAAACCTCCATCGCTGGCCGCACAATCACCACGCCCATGCTCAACATCGCGACCGTAGCAGCTGGCGGCGGCTCGATCCTCTTTGCGCGCAACGGTCTCTTAGCTGTAGGACCTGAGAGCGCCGGCGCGCACCCGGGACCGGCATGTTACCGCAAGAACGGGCCTTTGACCGTCACTGACGCGAATCTCCTCCTTGGGCGTCTTGTTCCGTCTTCCTTCCCTTCCATCTTTGGACCGTCCGCCTCTGAGCCGCTCGATACCGCCGTGGTCGAAGAGAAGTTCAAACAAATTACGGAAGAGTTCAACAACCAGACGAACCAGACTCTCCAGCCACACGACGTAGCCCTAGGCTTCCTAGACGTCGCAAACGAAACAATGGCCCGTCCCATCCGCAACGCAACAGAAGCCCGCGGCTTCGCCCCCGAGAACCACAACCTCGTCTCCTTTGGCGGCGCAGGCGGGCAGCACGCCTGCGAGATTGCCGATAAACTCGGCATCCGCCGCATCTTGATCCACAAGTTCTCCTCTCTGCTTTCGGCATACGGCATCGCGCAGGCAGAGCTACAGAGCGAGACCCTCGAGCCGTACGGCGCGAAATTTAAACACAGCGATAGCGCCGTACAAGGAACAGTAGCATCCCACGTCGCTGACCGTCTAGCTGCGCTGAAGGAAAAGGTGACGCAAGATTTAGTATCCCAGGGTGCGGATGAGACTTCTCTGGTCTTTGACGAGAGTCTTGTGCTGCGGTACTTTGGCACCGATACCAACCTAACAATCTCCCGCCCCGAGAATGGTGACTATGCAGGGAGCTTCAAAGCCACGCACCTCCGCGAGTTTGCCTTCTCGATGGACCGGGACATCGTCATTGAGTCGATCAAGGTCCGCGGGACAGGCAGCGCGGCCGGGAGCGCGTTCGGGATGCGGGAGACGTCTGCGACTCAGGAGCTCGCGGATAGGAGGAGCGGTGCTAGCGGTGGTGTAGCTGCCGCTCCAGAGCCGCGCATGAAGCAGAGGGTTTACATCAACGGCGGGTGGCGCGAGACGGGCGTGTATCGTCTGGATGAAGTTCCCAAAGGCGTCGTAATCGAGGGACCAGCTCTGCTCATCGACCAGACGCAGACAATCTTTGTATCGCCGACGTTCAGCGCGTACATCCTCTCCTCCCATGTCCTCCTCGAGAAGCAAACTTCCACGACAGCTTCATCAACATCGCCGCTCTCTACCTCCACAACACCAACACCGGCACCCCAGATCGCGGCACCAGAAACCACAGACCCAATCCTCCTCTCCATCTTCGCCCACCGCTTCATGGCCATCGCAGAACAAATGGGCACCACCCTCCAACGCACCGCAATCTCCACCTCGATCAAAGAACGCCTCGACTTCTCCTGCGCAATCTTCTCCCCCGAAGGCAAACTCGTCGCCAACGCGCCCCATATCCCCATCCACCTCGGCTCCATGCAATTCGCCATCCAGGAACAACACCGCCACTGGAAAGGCCGCCTCCAGCCCGGTGACGTCCTCCTCACGAACCACCCGCAATGGGGCGGCACACATCTCCCGGATCTGACCGTCGTTACCCCCGTCTTCGTCGACACCGGTTCACCCTCCACCGACAAGCCAGACAACGGCGGAACATCCACCCAAGAAATCGCCTTCTACGTCGCCTCCCGCGGCCACCACACAGACATAGGCGGCAAAGGCATAACCTCAATGATGCCTGAGTCCCGCCAACTCTGGGAAGAAGGCCTCAACGTACCCACCCTCAAAATCGTCTCCCGCGGCCACTTCCTCGAGTCCGACGTCATCGCCGCCTTCGAGAAAGCAGGTTCTCTCCCAGGCTGCTCCACCTCCCGCCGTCTCGCCGACAACATCTCGGACCTGAAGGCCCAGACATCCGCGAACCAACGCGGCATCCTCCTCCTCCGGAAACTCTGCGCCGAGCAAGGCGAGGGGAGGCAGGGCGTCGCTGTGGTGCACAAGTACATGTCCGCCATCCAAGCCAACGCAGAAACCGCCGTCAGAACCTACTTCAAATCCCTAGCCGCCTCCCACCCGAACGGTCTCTCCGCGACAGACCACCTGGACGACAGCACACCCCTCCACGTGAACATCACAATCGCCCCCGAAACCGGCACCGCAACCTACGACTTCTCCCTCTCGGGCCCCCAAATCTGGGGAAACTACAACTGCCCCGTCTCCATCACCCACTCCGCCATAATCTACACCATCCGAAGCCTAGTCGGCCTCGACATTCCCCTAAACCAAGGCTGCCTGAACCCTGTAGACATCATCCTCCCACCGCAAGGTTCCGTCCTGAACCCCGGCCCCGGCGTCGCCATCTGCGGCAGTACACTCGCCTCGCAGCGTGTCATCGACGTCATCCTCCGCGCGTTCGGGACACACGGCGCGAGCCAGGGCTGCGCAAACAGTTTCGGCTGGGGCATGGGCGGGCGGGACCCGGAGACCGGAGTTGTCGTCAAGGGGTGGAATTACGGGGAGAGTATCGGCGGCGGGGTGGGTGCGGGGGCAGGGTACGACGGTGAGCACTCGACGCACGTGCATTCTACGAATACGCGGCAGACAGACGCGGAGGTCGTTGAGAAGCGGACAGCTGTGCTTGTCAAGTCCTACGGTATTCGCAGAGGTAGCGGTGGTGTTGGGAAGCATCGTGGAGGTGATGGAATCACCCGCGAGATCCAGGCGCGTATTCCGCTCAAGTTTAGTATTCTTTCAGATCGGAGGGTGTATAGACCCTGGGGTATGGCTGGCGGCGGGCCGGGACAAAAGGGGGAGAACTATGCGTTCTTGTTCAATGAGGAGGGAGGGATGGAGAAGATTAATCTTGGCGGGAAGGCGATTATCAACCTGAAGGAAGGCGAGTATATCCAGGTCAATACGCCGGGTGGCGGAGGGTATGGCGGCGAGGAGGTGGAGGATAGACATCGGGGGTATGTATGAGACGAACGCTGCATCACGATATACAAAAGACATAGATCAGTAAAGCTTGCAGCAGATTACCACCAACATGCAATTATGACTGGATGTGACTTGATAAAGCCTTGTCATTACATATAAACGGACCTGATCCAACATTACAACATCCAATGCGTATAGCACATCATGGTATCTTCATCCCTCGTCAACGTAAAATACCCAGCAACTCCCGTGAGTATCATGCAGGCATCGCCCCCAGTTTCGCTTCAGCACGACAGCTTACGCGACCTCCTTCTCCAACTTGGTGTCGACCGTACCCGGGGCAGCAACGTCCGCAATAGTCTCGTCAGAGAACTTGAGATCCTCCTCGACGGTGACAGTGTCCTTGATCTTCAAGAAGATGATGGGCGCACCAATAACGAGGGCACCAGCAAGGCAACCCCAGGTAGCGCCGAAGATGGTGTTGTACTCGGTTTGGACACCATCGAGACGCCAGAAGACGGCAGCGCCGGCGGATTGAATACCTGTACCATGTCAGTATGAACGCGTTAAAACAGTCGAGGAACGCGTGACTTACCCTTGTAGAAGCCAGCCAGGTTGGCAGCCTTGCGAGAAGAGTTGGAAAGGGCACCCATGTACCAGTAGATGCTCGTCTGCCAGCAGGCATCGAAGAATCCGTAAAACATGTACAAGAACATGGGGCCAATGTAGGCCTCGCCGCCGTCGGTCCAGTCAATGGTGGGGTAGTCCAAGTTGCCCTCAATCTCGCCGCGAGGAGCTTGCTTCTTCTGCCATGCGTAACCACCGCCCCAGATGGCCATGGTCAAGACAAAAAGCGTAATGTAGGAGGCCTTTGCGCGCACACTACGGCGGACCTTGGGGAAGTCGAGGGCGTAGCCAAAGATGAGAGCACCGATAATCTGGGAAGACCAGTACAACAGGTTGTTGAGCGAGCGGGTGCGGGTGTTGAAGTGAGGGGCGTTCATGTCGTTGGTTTGGTAAGTGTAGAAGACGTTGGAAGTGAAGAACATGGGGAACAGAAGGATGATCCACGGGTCTTGGGCCAGAGTCTCCCACAAGCCCTTGAACTCAGACTGCCAAGAAGGGTTCTTCATAACAATGACCTTAGAGCCGTCCTCACGAATGATCTTGGGCACATCGCACATGAAGAGAGCAAGAATGGCACCGAGCAGCATGAGAACAATGAAGGCAGCGTAGGTACCATCAGTAACAGTGCTTCGCGATGTTGTGTTGATGTTCTGGCCGAGGGGGATAAGAGCACCGATGACAGCGCCGAGGTTGAAGATCATCCAGAACCAGGAGATGTAGCGTCCCTTTTCCTTTTCAGAGGGGTAGGACATCATGATGGCACCCTGGCCAGTCCACAAGAGACCAGCGCACACACCGAGGAAGGCACCGGCGAAAATGACGAAGCCTTCGTTCTGGTTGTGAGAGTAGGACAGGAACGAAGCGGCGTAGATGCAGTAACCCAGACCGCCCAAGCTAAGTGTCAGACGGAGACCGAGACGGTTGGCAAAGGTACCGGCGAAGAAGGCGGCGACGGCAAAGGTGGAGTACAAGGCCGTGTTGGCATCGTTGGAGGCCTTTGTGGAAACCTGACCACCGCCACCGAGACCACCGAGAGCATTGAACATTCCGGGGCAGAGGAAGCAGACGAAGGAGACCATGAAGAGCTGGATGCGGGGCGAAGCGTACCAGAGCTCCTTGCCAGCAATACGGAAGCCACGATACATGAAGCCGGCAGGACGGGGAACGGGGCCGTCAACAGCGGTTGTTGTCGGGGCGGCGGTGGCGGGCTCGACATCGGCCGCAGCCGCGGGCTCAGAAGCGTGTTTCTCGTCGACAGAAGACATCTTGGCGGTGGTGTGGAGTTGAAGAGGTGGAGAGGTTCTGAGGACAGACGTTGAGGTTGACGGAGCGGCGTTGCGCCTTGGCGGGACGGGAGGGATTGGGGCCGGTGGTGTGTGGCTGCCGCTTGGTGCTTCTCTCTCTCAAAGTGTCGCAGACTGGAAACTCAATCGTGCCAGACGATGGGTGATGGTGGCCCAAAGTAGCGCAGGCGCAAGGCTCGGTTCGATGAGTTTTGGTCTGGAGAGACTGGACTGAAAGAATGAGACGGGCGAGCAAAGACTAGAAGAAGGGTCCTGGGGGAGGTGTGCAGCTTCTTTATGGGACGGTTTATCGGGCTGCAGGTTGCAGTTGCACTGGGCGATGATCGTGGGTGGAGCTGTGGTCAAGGTCGCGGTCCCGACGTGCCAGGGTGAGGCGTGGCGGGTGCGAAAAAGATGACAAGGGGGCGGAGACTGTGACAAAGTCGGGTGGAGGTTGTGAGGATGATGGAGGTGGTATCCGTAGCTAGGGTAGCCGGGGTTGATTTGTTGACTTGGTGATATTGAAGATGGAAGAAGGGAGAAGGGTGTTGATGGAGGGGAAAGAGAAGAAAGATGGTAGCGAAGTAAGGTAAGGTACCGTATACGCCAATTTGTTTATCGCCGCTAACCAAACCGTGATACGGGAAGACAGGACGAGATTGGAAGATGGCAAGAGCAAACAGTGTCGGGTGTTTCTTTTTGCATACAAAAATAACTTAAAAATCGAGAAGCTTTGAGGGCTCGATGTTCAGACGCAGGGCAGGTGCAGATGGAAGGATACCTCAGGTGGGAAGGAAAGCAGCCAGCAGCCGGGGGCGTAGATGGCAAACGGGGTGTGTGAGGTGTGAGACGATGGGGAGGGACTCAGGGAGAAGATGTGCAGAGCTAAGGAAGGTGGCGCCAACGCCCGAATGGGACGGGACGGGTACGGGGTACGCAGCAGGTGAGAATTTGGGGGAAGGCACCTCACACGCGCCACGGCGCCTTAGATGGCAGGAGGCGGGAGATTACTGGCAAGACGGCACTGGCAGGAAGGAGCTGCCCCAGTCGACCGCTCTAGCAACGGAGGGGAAGGCACGGTCAGCTCAGGTAAGGTAGCAATGGGAACTCAGGAAGGAGTCGCCTTTCTCGTGTGCGTTCCATCTGACGTGTGACCGAGGTGCCTATCAGCGCCATGAACGAGAGACCTTGGACCAGGTTTGATAGATGGGCTGAGAGTAAGGCGTCTCCAATGTGCCAGTGTGGTGGTGTCAAAAGAAAGGTGGTAGGATGGAGTGGCAAGCTACGTGACAGTCAGAGGCAGTGGCCTACCTTGGAGGCTTAGATACGGCTCTTCAACTAGCAACACTCAACAGCCACCAGGCACTGGTAGAAGTGCGCCAAAGTTTGCTTGTCAAAGATGATAATGCCAATTCAAAGGTGACAGCAGAATTGACTGATGGTGTGGAGCATGGGGAAACCAAACCAGGATCTGGCGCCGCCGCTGGGCAACGGGGGAAACAGCCGATGGGTTGAGAGGAGCCACTGCACAGGGATGCGATTGACTGAACCGGGTAATCCACAGATACGGATGGGGAGATTTCGGTTCGGAGACCTGGCCGTGGACCTGAAGCTTGAAGGTCCAGTGTTGATAAGAAAGACTCCGGCCCGGTCAGTGCCGAATGATGGATGCGTAAGCAATCAGTCGGTCAGGCTTGATATCTTCTTGACGTTGATAGTTGCGGAATCTTGGAAGTTGGGTCTGGTCTGAGAGACGGGTACCCGTATGGCATTGTCGAGTCAAACAACAATCAAAGAAAAATGCAGTCCAAATTTAGACAAACTTCAACGGCGCCGGACGGCACGCGGTGGCGGCCTAAGCCAGAGCGAAGAGCGGCTGTCCACGGCAACGCGAGGTATCACGAGGTGGAGGCTCCAACGACGGTATTGGTTCCAACCTGCGAATAAGGTAGGGAGAATGGGTGATAGACGACGGCTGGAAGTTGAAATTGAGACATTCGCGTTGTCAAAGTCCCATTGTTGCTGACTGACTGGGCCAACCTCCCTCTCGCATCACACCACATCTGCAGAGGCCCCTAGCTGGTATCTGAGGCCGTGTTACACCACAGGAGCCATTCTTTCTTGCTTGAATGAGTCTTTCGTGATAGTGATTCCAACTTGTTGTTTGCCTCAATTCTCGTCATGTTTCATCTCAAGTCGCCTACCGTCACTTGCAGGAAGCAATCTGAGGTGCTTATTTGTTTTGACATGTGTGCCGCGCCGGGAGAAAGAAGCGAAATTCATCAACGAAATTCATGGTTCGTTGCGTCCCCACTCTACCCCAATCGATAAGCCCCACGACAAAGGGCCGATGCCTTGGGGTATCTGATTGGTCAACAGTTCGGGAGGTCACGAGGTGGCGCTTCCTTCCATCTCGGAGACTCTGATCGTAATTGGCTTATGGACTCCTGTGCCTCGGCCGTTTGGGGAAGGAGAAGTAGAGATGACATGCATCCATCACCTGCCGGCCGCCCGCACTGTGCCTTTTCAGTGCCGAAGACGCATCAAGTGCTGACAGCAGCACGCATCACAGCGAGTGCGAATGGATTCATCCTGCGGTCCACGGCATGCGGCTGATGTTGATTCATCTCAGGGTAGTGATAAGGTAGAATACGAGGTTGACATTCCTATATGCTCTACTTCCCCGAGTCTGCCATAGGGATCTGTAAAAGGCCGAGTGCTAATATCAAAACACTACCTATGCTTTTTGATCTCGTGCCTTCCCTCCACATAACAAACACAGTGGTAAAAACAGAAGCAATAGCCACCACACCACCACACCTTCCCCCGTGCGGAGAGATTTTTAAAGTGGCGCCCAGAGCCAAGATAGACAAGCGTCGACCAACCAGCGCGCTAGGCATCGTCCCTGCCCCCTGCCATCTGAGGTCCGTGCAGGATGGAGAGGTGCATGTAACGTTTCCCTGAGATTGAAACTCAAAAAAAAAAGAAAAGAAAAGAAAAAAAAAACAATGGAAAGAAGCGAACAGAGAAAAGAGGGGACCACACAATACGTAGCTGCCAGACGGGAAGAAGAAGCTTGTGGCTTCGGCTACAATGGTCGTCTGCAGATTGGAGATTCGATACAGATGCCTACTGCCTATAGATGTCTAACTCGCGCCTTGGCCAAAGCTATTCCCCAGACTTCCGTCCTTCAAGACTGTCGGGAATAACCCGTGCTCCCACGTCTACGACGTGTTACGGAGCAGGAGCTGACCTGACCGTGCCCACGGCCTGGGAACCGGCCAGTTGTATCGGCGACACGACGGGACTGATAGACTCTTGCTCTATCTCTCTCGTGGGTTCGTTACACAGATAAGGATGCTTGCATCGCACACGTTTCCCGCCCTATCTTGCAACTTTGATTCTACTTCAGACTATCTCCGGGGTCACACAGCAGCATTCGGGCAGAGTGTCAGCTTTCAGTCTTCCGTACGTTAGAATGGCAATCAAGGCTCATCTCTATGTCGACGTCCAGGTCGGAATGCGTGTCAGCAATCGACTCGATCTGAATACCCCGAGCCAGATCCTCTCACTATGGCCATCCTCAATCAAGCCACCCGCTGTTGCTCGGTTGCAGAATCTGAAGCTGGAACTTGGTCCACGCCTGGGGAACCGACCTGCCGGTCTTCCATCCCACGAGACCTGTATCTGATACCTGGACGTAACCACAGATATCTATCCATATCTCCCCAGACGTATCTGACCGTTACTTCCCTTTACCCCACACAACCCAAAGGTTACATCCCCACCCATCCCAACGTCCAAGTCTCCACGGTCCATTCCATCCCCAAACAATGGCTCTGGCAGACCATGGCGCAAGTTACAATGGCCGCCTGGTGATGTCTCGCCCATCAATGTGACATTTGCAGTAGACTTCTTCAGGGTCCGTCCGGTATCCGAACCCACTGTCCAACCCGCTGAAGGTCCAAGGAGGCGTGCCCAGTCTTTCAAGTTCCCGGCGCGAGGTGTTTCCTGTTCCATGGAGCTGGGTATTGCGTGACAGGCGACTACATCTTGACCCAACTTTATCATGCCACCCATGTTACTTCAAACTCGTTGACGATTCGTCAAGGGCACATCACGGCATCGGTGATGTAGAGTCTCATCCGGCCCTCCGGTCCCGGAAGTCAATCCCTCCGCCGAGCCTAGATGTTCTTGAACTTTCCGGTCGTTCTTTCGGCCGGAAAAGCGGAGTCCAACTGCCAGACTCCGAACAGGCAGATCATCAAAGCAGTGATTGACTGACACCTCACGTCTCCGGCACCGGTGCTTTGACGTCCTCAAACCTGGCATCCCCTCCTCGTCCCGCTGGGGCCCGGCTTCCACATCCGTCGACACATGTAGCAATTTGGTGCTCCATTAGATGATCGTCGATACTTGCCTTGCTCCATGTTCCCAAGAGATCATAGTCGCTACCAAACAAGGCTAACGTTGGTCCGATGGTTTCCTTCACGTAGCCTTTTATTCCACGTTCTCTTTAACAGTGGGAGGGGGGAAGTCGTGGGACTCGAAAAGGAGCAAATTCTCGAAAAAATAGAGTCTTTGCCCTACGGCGCCGAGCCAGTGCACCATTAGATGGATACTCCATTCTGAAGCAGGAAATCTGCAAATTCTAGACTTGCTGCGATTAACCTGGCCTCCAGTCCCTCTCCAGGCACCGCTCTAAGCTGCCGGCCGTCTGTGTTCGGGCGGTGACCTTCCCGGGATCGGAGGGCCGGAGCCTAAACGAATCTCCGGCCCCCGAAACCTCCGTCAGAGGCCATCCCTCTCCACTATCTTGCTTCGGGCTGGCGACACAGTCTTGCGCAGCCACCGGCAGATGTAAGGTTTCCACTTACTTTGATTTCGCCTCATGCTGCTGTCTTTACAACGCCCGAGACAGTATGACCAGGGATGAAATGTTCCTTCAGTCTTCTTATTCTCTTTGTAGGATGGTAGACCCGCAGTATCGCATGACTTGTCGGCCGTTCCTGGGCCTCAATCCTCGCGGGGGGCTTTGAAGCGTCAACAGACATTACAAGTCGGAGAGCGATGAATGAGATTAAGGACTGTGTTACCGATGGATCTGCAGTGCCATTGTCCAAATTGGCCCAACCAGTTGAAGAATCCCGTCGGCCTCCCACAAAATCACATTTTGTTCACCGTCAATTCTTAGTCCTAGAAACCTTAAAAATGGCCGCCGGACATGTACAGACATCCCGTGCACCGAATTACATACGCATAACGACATAACCAGCAGGGGTATACCTTCTCTCCCCAGGGCGAGTCAAGACCAATCCTCAACAGATAGAGTAGTTCTGAGGCTGAGTTCTCCCCAGGACATGACTGCCAAGCCTAGAGACGAACCACATTGATTGTGTCCATCAAACGAATACCGTCTTTAAGAAATTAGACTTACTCGCGGGAGCTAATTTCTACCCGGGTAGGTTGTGTAAAGTCCGTGATGTATGCGAAGTATTGGCGGGTACATCAGCGTGTATAACTCCATAAGGGTCTGAAGAAGATATAAAAGAGCAAGTCTACCTCCCCGGCCTGAGTCTCCGTCAGTCTATCGACTCAAGCTTTACACTCATTCCGCCCACTTACAGCCATCCTTAAAAGCCTTCCGCTTCCGAGGCCCTTCTCTTCCACTCAACTCGTAGCCACACGCCAAGATGCATTTCTCCGTCATCGCCCTCCTCTCCCTCTCCGCCCTCGCTCTTGCGGCGCCGCAAGCCAACGTTGCGCCTACGTGCGGCAGAGATAGCGACTGCACCAGCTTCTGCAGCAGAGGACCATGCACGAAGCCGTTCTGCGGACTCTCTGCTTTTGGGTACGTCATGAAGAAAGAAAGAATAAAGAAATTTTCTCTTGACTTTTTTGAGATGAGAGAACAGAGGATGCTAATGTTGGGTAATTTAGTGACGACCGCTGCTTCTGCGGAGGATGCTAGATGGACTATGTGACATGAGACAAAACCGTTGCCTCGGGGCCTTATGTTATCTTCTATATCTAGGAGATGCGACAACTATACATATGGACTACCAAATTTGAGGCGGCGCAGGGATTGGGCGAGGTGAAGAGATCGAGACCTTTGAGAGCGCGAGTTGGGGCGCGATGATATGTTCCATGCTTGGGAGCATCGAAATAAGCGTGCGTTCATGGCCAACGTTTTACCTTTCAAATGGCGTTCAAACGTTCTTGAAAAGAGAGAAAGAATGAGGAAAGGGTGATTCAGGGCGTAAGTTGAGTTTTGATGAAAGAAAATAAAAGAACACATAACGCTAGGTATTCGTTCGTGGTCAATCAGGTGCCTACTGATCCAGCCCTTAGCGGCGTATCTAGGGGAGACTGGACGAAGTCCCAATTCCTCCGCTGGATACGGTCGTGTGTGACAATGCGAAGTCTTCGAGGATCATCAATTGTATATTGAGAAAACGCATTGCAAGCTTGGCCGTTTGCCTAAGCCATGGCATGATTTATACCAACGTCACCTTTGTGTTCGGCAAATCAATCTCAAACAACTCGCCTTCCATGATGCCGTGGACGTAAGAGTCCCCCACAAAGGTGAAGTCTCTCTCATGTGTTTCTCTGTACGGCCCCGGGAGAGGTCGCAATATCAATGGCACTCGTCCACCTTTGACGACCCATATCTGATCTCCGATTTGCGCGTCCCTGCTAGCGAGCCCAAACAGACCAGTGTCTGATATGAAAAATCTTCTGCCTCCTGTGATTTCTACGTTATGGTTTCCGAAGCGATTGAGCTGCTCGATCACACTCGTAGGAAGGTGTGCATCGGGTACAGGTACATTTTTGTATTTAGTACGCTGCAGCAAATTCCACCACCAACGATCATGAAGAGCTCGCGTCCTGTCGTCCGCCTGATAGACATGTACCCTTTCAGGTAAGGTGACATCGAGATTCGCACAGATTGTTCTCCAGAACGCATCCAGTATGTCTATTCGAGCCTTGCAGGCGCCGAGCAATGCACAATAGGGATCTTGAGGCTTTCGATCCACGTTTGCCATTTCCCGCCATTGTTGAAGGGTTTCTGCATGGTAAATCCCAGCGTCACTGGGGGGATAAGGCTCGTTAGGCTCTCCAATCTTGGCAATGGAACCACCAAGACGGCCATCTAGGATCAACCTTTTGAGGTCGTTTGTACAAATCCGCGTAGATGCAGTCAAATTCAGCCCACAGGCTTCGAAGCAAGGTGCTAATTTTTGCCTCTCATGCAGCAATCGTAAGCGCCAATATTCGCCAGGCCTGCTGTCACTCCAATCAGGGACCCAGGAAGGAAGTCCAGGCGGTGGACGATGGTAGAAGCCACGGCCACGGTACTCTTGCGACATGGAGGGGAGCACGTGAGATAGTACATCTAAGTTTCCGTCTTTTTCGATGAGGTTGATAGCGACTCTTGCGTAAACTTCGGCAACTGTGGCGTCGTAGTCAATAATGTCCTTGGTGAAGCTATTCGTAAGCCCGAGCACGCCGTAAATCTTGTCTTTTGGGTTGGTTGCATCTCGATATCGGAATGTAGACGCCAGCTCCAAGAAGTGGACTTGGCCTGGGGAAGCGCGTTGGTCTTGAGCGGTCTTGAGAACGAGAGCTATCTGCCTTAGGTAGGGCGACATGTCCTGCGAGAGGGATCGACCGCTAAAGAGCTTTGATGGCATCAGAGCATCGATGTTGCAGCATTTCTCGGATGAGAAATGCTTTTTGAAGCTTCGAGCCATGCTGTCGATCTCTCCGTTGGCAAATACGTGCTTGCCACACACATGTGTCACCGACTTTGCGAGAAGAATTTCCTGGACGGTCCAGATACGCTTGTACCAATCTCTCGACTTCAGAAACGCGAATAGTTTGAGCATCGTTGCCCTTGTGAGGAATGGGTCAGACTTGGCATCTTGAGCCTCCGGGACTCGCCAATGATGATCAGGAGATGATCCAAAATATTCTATGAGTTTGCAAATGTCCTCATGGTATCTTTCCTCGTCACCTAGCCATACGACAACTTTTTCAGCGCCACGGTAAATGATGTCCATAATTCCTACTTGGTGCTTGCGTTCAGCGTTGTCGGTTTGATTGATGCAAACAGCATCGACCCAGAGATCTAGGGCTTCTCCCGCTCTTCTGAGATGCTGCAAAGCGTTTTTGAGATTTGCTGTAACGTTCATCGCTTCCCCTTGCACCTTGATCGTTCTCGTGTGTGTGGGATCTCCCCAAACATACGATAATGCCTCATATGATGCGCCTTGGGTGATCGTCTTGAGTCTGCACTCTATCTCGTCATCGAAGGACCCTGGTAGCAGCTCAAGGATTCGAATTTGCTGCGAGCGGTAGTCCAAAGGGACGTAGATGTTGGCAGAGCATACATTCGATTGATTGGTGGCCATGTCGTTCAGTCTGCCTTGTGCAAGGAAAGAAATTCGCAACTAACTCGGCGCCGAAGTTAGACGGATGATTCTGTAACATTACAATCGTGGTGGTATGACACCTCCAGTAAGCCAGTATCTCAACTGCTTCAAATATACAGCTTGCTCTTCGTATACCATGCCTGGTTTTCCCATCACATATATGGTAGGGAACAACAGGCAGAAACATTTCACGATGTACATATGAGAGGATGTCGTCAGTAATCACTTGAACAGGTAAGTTTCAAACTGTGCTCCATGCAGCCAAGTGGGCAATGCTTGCGTTGCTAGAGTCCAAGCTGAAAAGTTTTCCAAGCTTCATTAGCAACTGTTGCCTTGAGCCGGTGCGTCATTGTCAGCCTGCGGCCCTATTAGGGAAGGCGATTCTGCAGGCTGTGTGCCCCAGAATGATTTCACAGGCTGAAAGCCTGCCACGCTTTTCTCAATCTACAGGCGTAGCATTCTGATGTTGACCGCATCAGGCTTCTAGGTCGCCTTGGTGCAACGATTCGTAGTTACTCGAGGCTTGGCACTGAGGCGAAGCTAGGCACCGCCGAGTGGCTCAGAGAGGCTCAAAAGGGGGAAAGCCAGTCTGCCCGGCGCCTTCTTGACGAGTATGAATTGTAATATTTGATTCTACTTCTGTAAATGGATCCAGCGTGCATTAAAACGAGGACTGATCAAGGCTTTATCTCTACATAAGTACCCTCGGGGAAGCAGACGTGCTGGGAGATGGCATCCTCGCCGTTAAACATACCGAGAATTCTGTCCTACCAGCTACATCAAGATACGAGTATCCAATGTGATTACCCGTCATCTGTTCATTGTTCTTTCTTTTTGGCAGAGATTCTCCAAGATGCCAGTACTAAGCCAGACTTACAGATGACAGAACTTCACCTTGCTGCAGCTTTTGGTACCCCTGGTATTTGTAGTCGCATTCTGGACGAAGGTGTACCGGTTGATATTTTTGAGACTAGCCTAGGTACACCGCTATGCACTGCAAGCACGGAAGGAAGGGTTGATAATGTTAAGCTGTTGCTTCAGCGTGGTGCGAACATCAATTTGCAGAATGCAAGAGGCTCAACTCCACTGCTGTGTGCTGCATATACCGGTTCGACTGAGGTGATGGAACTCCTGTTCGACAAAGGCGCTCTCGTAGAACTGGAAGCCGACAAAACAACAGTGCTTCACGTTGCTGCGCAAGATCACGGGCCTTCAATGGTGCACTTAATCTTGAAGCATATGAAGCAACGCCATTCTGAAGACGTGATCGGGCTCCTGAACCATCACGATCATTGGGATAGAAGCCCTCTGCATATATCTGCGCAGAAAGGAGACCTGGGGACTGTACGGGCATTGGTTGACGCAGGTGCATATATCGACATCGAAGATGCGTTGGCAAGAACTCCAGTGTATTTTGCTGAGCTACACGGTGAAAACAAAGTCAAGGACTTCTTGATCAGCAGGGGGGCCAGGATCGGAGTTCCGCGGATTGAGACGATTGAAGTCGAGCTTGAGGATGGAACCACTCTCATCGTGGAAGTGAGTGACAAGAACCGCGAGCCCGGTGAGCAACCTTCTAAGCTGTGTCCCGAAGAGGCAGCACAGATGATCTATGATGTGGAAGGGACAGTTTTTCCTTCTCCTGTCAAAAGGATTCACTTCAAGAACTAGCGATGGCGTTATCATGTGCGCCTCACCGACGGTAGAGACCTGGACGAGCTACCCAGTTCATAGCTTTTAGGCAACTACTTATATGGCGGTACGTGCAATCACGCGATGAGCCAGCGTGTCTCTGATGCCACCCACTCAGCTTACGTTGCAATGTACAGTAAATAGTAACATTATGGGACGAACTGGGAGTATTCCATTTGGGTCAATTCTCCTATGTATAGGTATTTTGTACATTTGAGCGGCGTTCACAAGATTCGGTGTGAGCAAAGGTCTACGTAGAAAGGCTAGGTCAAGATAGGAATGAGAAAAATGGAAGTTTGTTACCTCATCCCTTACAGTTCATACATGCCACAATTCGTTCCTTTGTGATCACGCCTCTCATGGCGCGAGAAGGGAACAAGAAGGAAGGAAAATGTGTAGGAGAAGAAGAAAGATTAGATCTTGAGAGACCTAGTATGACAGATAGTTCCACCCGTCGCGCAGACGGTCACGGTGTTGGCCTGGCACTGTCCGCCAAAGCCGTAGGTTTCCGAGGCCCCGCCGCCAACGATCGCGTAGACGTTGGAGGCGGTGGTGATGGTGATCCTAGAAGAGTCACCGGAATATGGGCTGCTAAAAGAGCCGCTAGACTCGGTGCCTGTGGAAGCAGGCAGGTAAATCGAAGGCCGTTGACTTTGGGAGCTTTTGTCCATTCGTTCCCCAAAAAATCACCATTCATCTGGAGCACCCATGACGGCAGTGGCGTGGGCAGAGATGCTCGGGAGAATAGAGCTGGAGATGGATGGCCTTTGCAGCAGTGACGGGGCAGACGCGGTGGACTCGGCAATCATCTAGGTGGTGACGATGGACTGTAGGTCTATTGTCTAAAATTAGCATCTAGCAGCCTGTAGGAGATCGTAAGAAGGTACTTACAGTGGGGTATCAAAAGTTCGTGTACACCCTACTAATACGCGTACCGACGCGTTTTCTCCTTAACATTACTTTTCTTTTTATATCCTATAATTTTAATAAATAGAGGCTAATTTATAGGTTTTTTATTTTTAAATAATAAGAAGCTATAAGGCTAACTATAAACTTATAAAAATTTAATAAGTAATAATTATTATACTTATAATAATTAAAAAGAGCTATTACGAGGTCGTAATATTTTTTAGCTTATTATACTTAATAATATAAAAAATAGTTTATTATTTTAATTTAAGTACTAATTTTAAGTCCTTACCCTAGGAAGGAAGGTTAGAGAATCTTTTTAATAAAGAGAAACGCTCTATAATTAGATCTATTTAAATTAATTATTAATAGCCGTATTTTAAACTAATTATTAAATAGTAAAACTAAGTTAATTTTAATATTATTAAACGTATTTTTAAAAAAATAAATTATTATAAATAGAGAGTTATAAAAAGACTTTTTATAATACTAAAAATAATAACTAAAAAGCTCGATTTTATAAAAAATTAAATCTAAAACCTAAGAGAATTAATAATAATATATAATTTAGTACGAAGACTTTATATAGAGATTTATTTATTAATTCTTAATAATTTTAGTCCTAGTTCTCTAACGAATCGTTCTATTAAAATAATACTTCTACCTTAATTAAATAGGTATTTAGGTTATTAAAAAACCGCTAAAACAAAGATTTATTAACCTTATTAGTTACGTTAAGGCGAATATATTTATTATAATATAAGTAATAATATAGAAAAATAATTACTCTAAATTAGTATTCTTTATTTATAATAACCGTTCTTAACAATAAGGGTATAATATAAATAGCTATATAAACTATTTAAAAAAAGGGTATTTATTATATATAAATAATGCGCGTTATTTTATATAAAATAATACCCCTATTTATATTATAAAACGGATAATAAAGTAGTTTATAATTTATAGGATTTCTTAGCTTAAATAGCCCCTATATTCGCTAAACTTTAACTTAATTAAGTATTATTAGCGTATAATAAATTTTAATTTATATAAATTATATTTAGAAATATTTATTTTAAAGAGGAATAAGTTAAATATAAAAGAATTTAAGTAATAATTAAGGGTAGCGTAGGAGGCTATATTATTAAAAAAAATTCGGAGTCTAATTAACTCCTTATTATGTTAACTTATAATAATAATTTAGGTACGTAGTTAATATATATAATACTAAAGAGTAAACTTAAGGCTTTTTTTTATATATACTTTTGCTATATAAATTAAAAAATTAATAGTTTTGCGGCTAGTCGAAGTATAGTAGTAAAAATGTAGGAGGTTGGGTAATTAGGGGCAATGGTGGGGTGTACACGAACTTTTGACACCCCACTGTAGGTATTTTCTGTTCTAGGGTACCTGGCACGCCTGGGTATCAGTAACTGGCACTGACGTTGGGCGACACCCATACCAACATGCTACCGGTGCATGGGTCGCTGCTGACAAAGCCCTACCGGATAAAGCCCGGATCACTCCCACAGCTCAAGGTCGGTTCAATTGAGCATTCTCCTTGTGCTCTCCATCATTCGATATCCGCGCGACAGTCCACGCAGCGGTTGCTCTCATCATAAAAGTCCATTGTATTGAGCGACAAGATGGACACGCTCTCATGGATGCTCCTGGCTTTTGCCATTTACATGCTCGCAAAAGTACGTACCCCACATTCGGCCTCACAACTGCGCCGCTGCCTCACCCCTCTTCATGAGATGTCCATGGCTATCCTCCCTAAACGACACCTGAAATGCGAGTCCCACGCTGCTAACTAGTAAACTCTTCAAAGACACTATTCGCAGACCGCTCGCCCATCCCCGAGACATCAGGCAAAGTCTACAAAGTCGCCAGCGCCGGCGAGCTAGACGCCCTCCTCGCCTCCACCACCAACGTCGTCGTCGACTTCTACGCCGACTGGTGCCCGCCCTGCCGCGCCATCGCGCCTGTCTTCTCCGGTCTGGCCGACAAGCACGCCGCGGAGGGGAAGCTCGCGTTCGCCAAGGTCAACGTCGATCACGTCAACAACGTCGCTGGCCGCTACGGCGTCACTGCCATGCCGACGTTCATGTTCTTCCAGAAGGGAAAGCCTACGGGTGTGGCTGCCAAGGGAGTGACGCCTCGTCAGTCGGTTGTGTTCACTGAGGATGGCCGCGTCGACAAGATTCGGGGCGCGGATCGGGCTGCGTTGCAGGCTGTTGTGCAGGCGCTGGCTGGTGAGGGAGGGGATGCGAAGGAGTGATGAGAGTCAGGATTGGCGTGTGCGGAAAGTTGGGCCTTTGAAGGAATACTTCCGTCGAGGGTTCGAATAGCCAAACAGTGGATCCGCATGTCAATGAGCGATTTTGAACGGAAAATACTGAAAGTGTGTTGATGCTTCAGAGGCCAGTGTCTTGACTTGAATCTCAGGAAATGTTACTCGACCTTGGTGATCACATCCTCATCTTCGAGATCGATTTATGGATTCAACAATGACAGCAATCCAGGTACCCTAGAATGGATGCCTGTCGGTCTTTCCTTGTCCCGGTCAGGGATGTATACGGCAGAATCGGTTAATTGAGCTAGCGGTGGGACCCCGAGTCATCTAATTCGCGAAGCAGTTAGATCAACAAGGGTGAAGATGTGGGCTAGGCAGCTTTCGAATGTCGCTCATGCTGACATGTTTATTTAGTCGAACCTCACTAAGATAATCGACTGACGTCCCATTGCCACTAATGTTCACCAGACACTTCTATGTGAGAAGAGACTGGTACCGTGTGTAGACATATCGTGAACCAGCTTTCGAGGCATCGACACCGAGTCAACCCGTCACGATGGCTTCCTCTCGCCCCACCAAAGTCCTCAGCGTCGGGCTTCCTCGCACGGGGTCCTACTCCATGATGCTCGCCCTCACCGAGCTGGGTTACAAGGACGTCTACCACGGCCTCAATGCCATCGATAGCCCCGATGACTGGCGCTTTTTCGGCCGTGCCTCCGACGCCCTATTCCCGACATTGCCCTCATACACCGGCAAGGGCATGACCACCGCCGACTGGGACCACATCTTTGGACCCTGCGAAGGCATCACCGATATCGCGGCCCCCTTCACACCATCGCTCATCGATGCCTACCCTGAAGCGAAGGTCGTTCTCGTCATCCGAGACTATGAAAAGTGGCGGGTATCGATGAAGGAGGTGATTTCAGGCATCTTTGGGCCCCTGACGTGTTTCATCCGGGACTACGTCGAGCCCATGATGGGCGCAGACAGCGCAGGGAATATTCAGAAGATGATGCTGGGTTGGGTGGGAGCTACCGACGTTCCCGACTTGGAGTCGAAGCTCGGCGAGGTCTATGAGCGCCACCACAAGTACATCATGTCGACGGTCCCCAAGGAGAGGTTGCTTGTGTACAAGCTCGGGGAGGGCTGGGGTCCCTTGTGCGAGTTCCTCGACCTGCCAGTGCCGGACATGCCGTTTCCGCATGGGAACGAAGCTGCAGCGCTCAGAAGTAAGATCTTTGACAAGCAAAAAAGAGTAATCCTGGAAGCCGGTGCTCGTTTTGCGCCGTGGCTTGTCGGCGCTGGTGCTGTTGCCGGAGGGCTGTGGTATACCCTGTCAATGTAGTGGGCGGAGTGTGGCGGCGTGCTTGGTTGTCAAGAGCTGCTTTGCTTCACACTCCGGCGGTGGTATCACGTCTTTTGATAAGCCTCTTGACCGAGAAGTGGTTGGCTATATCTTGTAGGAATCCGATGGGAGGATCAACCTCGCTCAGCAGCTCCTCGTACGCGGTTATCCGAGGGGCATCCCACACGAGGTCGACCTCGTCCGGCCGCAGGGTTTTCGTACCCTTGTAGCACTTCCAGAGACAGAACAGAAGAGGCGCTAGAAGAACCATAGTGTAATGTATGAAGAAAGAAGCTGGGTCAAACGGACTGAGTGACCGGTAGCCGTAGCAAATCACGACACATGTCATCCAGACCAGGCCAATGTACGCGCTATACGGCTGAAACCGACCGATGTAAGGGAGACGAGAGCGGTCAAAGTTTTGCGTCTTGCAGGCCCTGTGAAAGCAGTTGTATGTGACGCAGATGACGATGTAGTCAATAATAGTTGCCGCGGTTGTCAGCGAAATCAGCCAGTCGAGTACCTTTGCCGACGAGCTCGAGAGCTGCAACAACGAGAAGAGAGGAAAGACCATGACCACGGTAAGGCAGTAAATCGGGGCCCCCTTCTTCGTCGTCTTGGTCAGGAAGCGCGGGGCCCTCCCCTCGAGTGCCAGACCATAGAGCGTTCTTGTAGAACAATAAGTATAGGCGCTGCCGGCCGAGAAAATGGTGGTAGCCAAGAAGAAAGTAACAACGTGAGGCAGGATACCGATGCCGAGGTTGCCCATCGCGATGATATAAGGCGATGCAGCCGCGCTGCCAGTGGAGCCCCCTTTTCCCGTGTAAATCGCGACGAGAGTCGGATCCTTATGACTAACGACGATCCCAGCGGCCAGGCCACTACCAACAAAGAAGATCCAGATGCGCCAATAGACTGCTTTGAAGGCCGTCTTCACGTAAGTACGAGGATGTTTGGCTTCGGCGGCCATCATTGAGACGTATTCGGGTCCGACGCAGGTGAAGGATGCGGTCCAAAGGGCGGACAGGAAGCCTTCGAATTTCCCGAGGGGCCCGGTGCTGGCGTATTCGGCAAAGTAACCGGCGGACCAGGCTCGGAAGCCGTAGGCGTCGCGCTGCGGGTTACCTCCCGCCATAGTGATTAGAGTAAAAGCCAGAAGCATCGCGAGCAGAATGACTTTGCCGCCGGAGAGGTAGAATTCGGCTTCTCCGTAAACGCCGACGGCAAAAACGTTAATGAGGCTAAGCAATAATGTTAACTTTGCTCTACAGCCTCGGGCTCTTCCTGACACAAATAAAGACCACAGCAAGCACCGAGGAAACATACCCATAGAGTATAATGCACCCAACACAAATCGCGTAGACTGGAATTTTGTCGTTCCAGTATGAGACCACTAGCGTCAAAGCCACAATCTCGAACGGTATCAGAAAGACTTGATAGAAGAAGAAGTTCCAGCCGGCCATAAAGCCGAACGCATCGTCGACCCATTTCCCCGCAAGTCGGACAAACCCGCCGCTTACGGGCATGTAAACAGACATCTCGGCCATGCAGTTATTGCACAGCGAGAGAATGATCGTATAGATGACAAACGCCAGAAGAAGGCTGCCCGGCCCGGAACGCTGAAGGGCGCCGCCCATACTGACGAAGACAGCCGTGCCTATGGAGCCTCCGATGGCGACGAGCTGGACCTGGCGGTTACTGAGGCGGCGGTGGAGGCCATCGGTGGCTATGGGTACTTCTTCGGTCTCGGTGCGTCGAGTGGAGGTGTTGGAAGGATCTTCGATTGAGGGTTTGAATACCACCGTTTGGCCAACGATGGGCTTGGTCGAGTGCGTTGGTGGAGTTGACATGGTGAATATTCGTTGATGGAAGAAGGGTTGGCATGGCTTTCAATGGAAGAACAGGAGGGTAAAAGGGCGGGGATCTTCACAGAGCAGAGTTTTCCCAATATCAAGCCGTGGGGCCAACAAGGTGCGAGGCTGTTATTCGAGTTGGATGCTTTGGCGGCAGTTCTTAGGAGTGGCTATTCTCGTGGACATTCGCGGATTGCCCAAGACTCTCGCCATTATACGGTCTGTAGGATTTCATGGCGAAGTCTGTAGCTGGATATACAAGGCACCGAGAGGAGGTGATGATCATCTGGGAAACCAGTGACAACAAAAAGATTGGAATTCTCTTCATTGTTTGCAGTTTGAGTAACGAGCTTGGGTCGACATGAATCACTCTCACACCAAGCCGATGAAGGCCAGATTGGTTGACCGTGGCGGAATGGTCACGGATTGGGGGCATTCTCAGTTCCGCCCACTCTGAGGCTATAAACTTGTCTTCTCTGTTAAGTCACGATGAAGATAGTTCAAATCTAATTTCACTACTGGTCTTTTGCTTGAAAAGACCAGTTATGGGTGTACCTTGATGGGGTCTGGATCGGTGACCGGCCGGCGTCTTTTAGAGGAAGGTGGTCAGATGGCCCGATCATGATACCGGCTGTGGTGACTTGCCGCCGGCGGTTGATTACCATCATAGTTGACAATTTGGAAACATTTGGTCGTCGCTCCTAGACATTCATCTAGACTGGGACCAATTAGTTGACTCTTTAGTAGCTTTCATATTATCGTAGCAATGTCCGCGTCCATCATTCAGTGACATATTCACCGCAAGGCAGTCGCTTTGAAGGCTTGAAGCGACGGTCTAGGAAGGATCCCTAGTTCCTGGTGTTGAGTTTCTAATGGTTATCTATTCACAAATACTAAAGCAGGAACTTATTCTGGGTACCGCTGGTATACGTGTCAGTAGGGCAGGGCTTTCGGCCAGCACTAAGTCAAATTATCATATATTGAACTGCGTAGTGTGTATGAGATATGAGACGTCGACGGAGAAAGTTGGTGGGCGTAGCCGACATTAAGTACCCACGTTGGGTGTCATCAGGAACGGCCGTTGTAGACGGACATCACCACCGCCTTCTTATTGCTCTTTTCTGTCCTCATATTCCCATTGTATTATAATGCGGCGCAGCATATCACTCCTAGGTCAATGAAGCGCTTTCAGAATTAATTAAAGTTGGGCCAGCCTGCCAGGTTTGCGCGACCTGTCCGCGTACTGTACCGGAGTTAGCTCAAGAGACGGGGCCTTACGACCAGGAAACATTTCCCCTCCAAGGAATCCCAAAGCAAGTTCGCTCTCCTCGCTCTACGTCCAGATTCCTTGTCTGTCGATTTAGCCTTCTAAATCCGAGGAACTTGGCCGGTTATCAGCATTTCGGATTCGTTTAGAACCAAGTGACAAGAATGAACTAGTCCACTGGGGTTGATCCAATCAAGGATGTCGTGAAGTCTAAGATGGCTCCTATTGAGGAGTGGACTACTGAAGAGCTACCAGCCTCCGAGTCTGAGTGCCTATTTGGTAAAGAAATCCGAAAGGTGGAAACCGTTTCCATCAAGATTAAGATACGAAGGTTTAAATCGGAGGACTCGTCCACGTGCTAGGCTCTTGTGAAGTCTGAAATAGTCCTCATTTAAAACAGAGCCAATAAACTAGAAGTCGGATTGCCAAGAGCTTAGGATTCGACTAGCTTCAGGTAGCCTATTCCATTTGTTTGCCTTTACGAAGCCCTATCGAGCCTAGACTCGTGCACGTTTGTCAC